TTTTTTGCAGTACGCGGGCCTCTCACTGCTGCGGCCCCTCCCATCGCGGAGCACAGGCTCCGGACGCGCAGGCCCAGCGGCCACGGCCCACGGGCCCAGCCGCTCCGCGGCACGCGGGATCCTCCCGGACCGGGGCACGAACCCGCGCTCCCCGCATCAGCAGACGGACTCTCAACCACTGCGCCACCAGGGAAGCCCAATTATTTCTTTTTTTAATAAAATCTGGAACTCCTCTGAGGAAAGCCCTCTTCACACACAGCTGAGAAGGATTAAAAGATGCTCAAGCAACCAAGCTGGTTTCTTCCCCAGCTGTCCTGCAAATCGGAAGGGGGAGAGGCAACAAGATTTTAGAGTGCTCAAAACCAAAACCAAAAACAAAGAAACAAATATCAAAGACAGCTGAGTTTTCCTTATAAAACTAGAGTTGGCGGATGCCTGAATCACAAAATGTGGCTTTCACCTGGTCCTCAAAAAGCTTTCCCAGCTCCTGAGCCAGCAGTCATCTGAAGGACAGGTAGGCACAGGCGAGCGTACTGAGAAGCAAAGTTCTAAGCCACAGTTAGGGGCGTGGCAGTTGGAGGACAGGGTGGACCAGGGACCCCACTGCCTAGGAGAGGGGCTCTGAGTCAAGTCCCTCGGCTGAGCCTCATAATGGTCAGTCACAGCCAATGCACATGGTTCTCAGTCTCAGGGGCCCTATGCCAGCATCTCCAAACTGACTCCATGTCAGGGAGTGTCCCGAAGCCTTAGCAGAAAGTCTTCCAGAGGACATGGTGTCCTCCTCACCATGTCATCACCTTCTCTCAAGCAGAAGGAAGATGCTTATGAAACTCCACCAGGAATCCTGCACAATTATTTCAAATAAGACTCGTTTACGATAAAGTTGGCTTTTTTTAAATAATTTTTTTAATTAATTTATTTATTTAATTTTGGCTGCATTTGGGTATTTGTTGTTGCACACGGGCTTTTTCTAGTTGCAGTGAGTGGGGGTACTCTTCACTGCGGTGCGCAGTCTTCTCATTGTGGCAGCTTCTCTTATTGCGGAGCATGGGATCTAGGTGCGGCGCGCGGGCTTCAGTAGTTGTAGCTCACGGGCTTAGTTGCTCTGTGGCATGTGGGATCTTCCCGGACCAGGGCTCGAACCCGTGTCCCCTGCATTGGCAGACATTCTTAACCACTGCGCCACCAGGAGCACCCCGGCATTGTTTTTTCTGGTGGATGATGATGTCGTTGGTGACCGCCATGATACAGGGAGATGCCTACTTGGGCTGCAGGCCAGTGAGGAGCCGCGGAGAGCTGATTCGGGTTGCTTGGTGAGAGAAGTCAGACGACGAGGTGGGGGGCAGTGAGGATGGGAATGGGAGCAGGCACTTGTCCTGAGTGGAGGCTGTTCATTCAGCTGACAACGGGCTGACTGATATATTAATCCACACATTAGACTGCTAATTAGTGCCTGCTTACCAAGTGCACGGTGTGGGGAGGTAGAAGAAACCCAAAGAGGAAAAAGGCAAACTTCCTTTCCTCAACATGCTCCTAGTCCGGTGAAGGAGACACGGGTAGAAAGCTGTACCCTAAGGTGGAAGGAGGGAATAGCCACCGCAAGGAACAGCTACTTAATTGGGGGGAGGGGAGAAAGGACACGTGAGTCCTGGAATGAGGCTTCCTTGAGGAAGTGATGCCTGAGCTGATTCTGGCAAGATGGGGACGCCGGGTGTGACGCGTTGAGAGGAAGCACGTTCCCGGCAAAGAGAACACCCTGAGCCAAGGCACGGGCATGGGAACACACGCAAAGTAGAAAGTAGTTCCGTTGGGTTACACACAGAAGGTGAGAGTGCAGTGAGAGACGGTGCTGTCATGACGCCCCTCCTGTGGATAAAAGACGAAAAGGCAAGAATACCTGCCCTGACTCTTTCTCCCTTCTTGCAGTTCCATAGGTCTCACTCATTCTCTCTCTGTCCAGTCCACAAGCTCTCTTTCTCTAGTTTGTCAGTGCTAAGAGGCCACTTGAGTTAATTGCATTTTTTCCAAGATTACAGCTGGGGGAGAGGGGTATAACTAATGACTTAACCAGCCTGGTCAAAAGAAAGCCTCCTCTTGTCTTATCAGTCTCAGAGTTAACATTAAATCAGGCACTGACCAGATGAAAAAGTTGTTTACAACCTCATATGTACTAACTCGTTGACTCCTCCCATCAACCTTAGGAGGTATGCTCTCTCATTATCCTCATTTGACAGAAGACTCAGTGACTGTGTGCCCCTGATATATACAGGACAAGAGCGTGAGTGGGCAAGGAACCCTATGCTGCCCATACTCACCAAGACACAAAATGTAGTGAATATCATCTCTTAGAAACTGGCCCTGGGATACATTTTATGCATCTGCCTTTTTTTTTTTTTCCAAAGAGTTTTAATTACTGAACTATTACCAACACCTAAATTATGCAAATTAGACTGCATGCTGACAGTGATAGTCCCCTGGGGAACTCAGCTTTCTTTCTTTCCCTTAGTGTGAATGTTAAGACCTTGAGAGGTATTTATTTCTATATTCACAGCTTACACACTCACACACACAAACATACACACAGACATACCCCACCAGCAGAATTTTCTTGCACAACCCCATAGGCACCAAATGATCTCTATGTGCTCCAATCGAACCCTTCCTCTGGGTTCAAGCTAGGTATCTCTCTCTCCTTATATCAATCTGACATCTCTCCCTTGGCACCTCAGGGAGCCCTGGCCTGGCCAATTGTGGCTCCTGCTCTTCCTGAGGCACCCAGGAAGGAGCAGTGTATTGGGTCAGAGCCTTCATTGACAGTGCCTTCCTGAATCCTTTTCTCCTACCCATTTCTCTCACCTCCCAACACCCCCCCTTCCCCTGCCCCAGTCACCATCTCTGCCACGTAGTCCTATTTATCCTTACAGCACACTGCTCTATTCTATTAACACTCTACTACATCTGCACAGGAGTTTTGTGATACTATAGCTTTGCTGCTTATAGGAGAAGCCCCATGTATTGACTGAGAACTATGTACCAAGCATGATAATTGATCAAATCTTCATGCAGCACTGAGGTGGGCAATTGTCGATTTACAGACAAGGGACTGAGCTGCAGAGAGGAGGTCTGCTTGCCAGTCCTTGAACTAGGTACTGTCCACTGTGTCCCAGGACCTCTGGCTAGGAGAGGATATTTAGAACCAAGAAACTGCCTATTTCCTTATTTTCCATTTGATACTTTCTCCTCTTTTTATTGTTTTTTTAAAATAGAAGTAACACGTAATGTGGTAAAGAAAATATTTCGAATGATAAAAAAGGGTGCAAAAAGAAAAGTGAAAGCCTCTCTCCCTCACCACTTCTGTTAGCATCAATTGTCAATAGTTTTTTGTCTAAATAACTAAAAAAAGTACACACCACACTCACATAGATTTTTAATTTACACACAGTGATCATGTTCTATACACTGTTCTATAAATTGCTTTTTTCCCTCCTAATTATGTCTGAGATCTTTTCATATCAGCAAGTAGAAGAGCTTCGAATGGTTTCCTGTCTCACTCAGAGTAAAATCCAAAGTCCCTACTTTGGCTGACATAACCTTGCTGCAAAAGCCTAACAAAGATATTACAAGAAAGGAAAATTATAAGCCTATCTCACTCGTGAACATAGATACAAAAATCTTAAAATATTAATAAAGCAAATCCAGCAATATGTGAAAAGAATAGTATATGATGACCAAGTTGGATTCATTCCAGGAGTGGCAATATTAAGTTAACATTCAGAAATCTATCCGTGTAGTCCACACATTAATAGATAAAGAAGAAAAAGCATTATGATTGTCTCATACAGAAAACTATTTGATAAAATTCTACACATTCATGATGAAAATAGGAATAGAAGGGACCTTCCTTACCCTGACAAAGGGAATCTACAAAATCTACAGTGTTAGAAATCAGTATAGTGGTTATCTCTGGATAAAGAGCAAGTGAGGGGCTTTTGTGGTAGTAATGTTCTATTTCTTAGTTTGGTTGCCTGAGTGTGGTGACTTCGTGATAATCAACCTGTACACAGATGCACTGGATACTTTACAGTATGTGTATTATACTTAATTCTAAAAGGTTGTAAATTTTTTTTTTTTAACCAGGAAAAAAATGTAGTTCTTCCTGATGATCTCAGAAGGGTAGAGGGTGTGACCAGGAGCTATGGGAGCTAGCAAGGACAGGAGAGATGGAGGTGTTGGGATGAGGAGAAATGGAGAAAAGAGTGTGTTGAGTAGTTACACATGTGGATATGGACCAGACCCAGGATGGTGTCCTTTGGTGAAGAGGAAGCTGGTGAGCCAAGCGCCTAAGTCTTCAGTGAATGAGAGGCAGTAATTTGGAGATAAAGTGCAAAGACAGGTGCACTAGAGGGAGAGATATATTAGGGAGCATGGAATTTAGTACCTAGACACCCCTCACAGAGTGCATTGTTCTACAATAAGGAGACAACACTGTGTACCTACTCTCCTCAACCACTTTCACAATTGGTCTTAAACCCCATAATGGTCTGGAAAGCAGTTAATATTTTGTTTTACTATTGGAGAACCCCAGACTCAGAGCCAGGATGATCGAGCTACAACTCAGGACCCAGAGCTGCTTCAAAGGCCTGTCCAGATGTGCTTCCAAGACCAGTGGCCATGTGGGCATCTGGGCCAAATCATGGTCCCTCTGTTGATCATCAGTTAACAGTAAAATAGGGATAATATCTTGTTCCACGACTGGCATAAGCACTAAATGTGGTTTCACGACATCATAAGGCGTTCAATACAGTTTTCTTCTTCCTCTTCCCCCAGCACTCCACCAACATATTCATCATGATCTGTCCCAAGAACATGAAGTCTAGAAAACCCAGGATCATGAAGACAGGTATGCAACCACTGCTCCACTAAGTGAGGCTGAGGGGTGACTCGTTTCTCTGGCGAACCCTGTAATGACCAGTGACATTAATAGAGGCTGGATTCTCGTGATGCCCTTGTCCTGGGCCAGCTGTCCTCGAGTACGGTCCATGGAGGTCCCAACACCCTTTCTGGCGGTTCTCGGGGCCAAATCTGTTCCCCAACAATACCAAACCAGCACTCTGTCCCTGGTGTACAGTTCAGAGGATATGAACACTGTCATTCAAGGGCCAATGAATGTATGCGTGGCATCTTTGGCTTTAAAATGTTTCAACTCCTAATACACAAATGTCCATGGATATAACCCTTATAAGCAAACGCATTTGGGGGTCTAAATTATAACTTTAAAGAGTGTAAAGGGGTCCTAAGTAGGAGTGCCAGATTTAACAAATAAAAATACAGGATGCCCAGTTATATTTGAATTCAGAGAAACAACAAATATTGCATGGGATACACTCATATTAAAAAGTTATTCGCTGCTTATCTGAATTTTAGATATACTTGAGCCTGCAGTATTTTAGTAGTCAATCATAGGCCTAAGACCGGAAAGTCCGGGAACCGTGCTCTGTCCCAGGAGTACCGGGCGGGGCACTTCCGGTCAGGCGGGCCGGCCTGGGCGCGGACCCCGCGCATCGTCGGAAACCTCCCCAGGCCAAGGCTCGGCTTTCCTCCCAGGCTAGGCCTCGCCCCGGCCCCGCCTCCCGGCGCCGGGGCCGCTGGGGGCTGGTGCTGGCGGTGGAGCGGGCCGAACAGGTTTCCTGCCTCCAGGGGGCAGCGGCCGCGGCCTGGTCCCAGGGTGGATAGCTCGGCGCAGCGCCCGGCCGCTCTTTCTGTCTTTGTGAGTGACGGGCCGGCCAGCGGGCCGCCGAAAGCCGGCGGTCGCCATTCCCGTGTCGCTGCGCCCGCGGGGGCCGCCCGAGCCGGCCACGATGCCACTGGGCCTGAAGCCCACCTGCAGCGTCTGCAAGACCACATCGTCCTCCATGTGGAAGAAGGGCCCGCAGGGGGAGATCCTCTGCCACCACTGCACGGGCCGGGGCGGCGCGGGCGGCGGGGGCGCCGGCTCGGGGGCGGCCGGCGGGACGGGGGGCAGTGGCGGCGGTGGCGGCTTCGGCGCGGCGACCTTCGCCAGCACCTCGGCCGCCCCTCCGCAGAGCAACGGGGGCGGGGGCGGCAAGCAGGTGAGCTCCTCCGGCCCCTCCCTCCGGCGGAGGTCGACCGGGCGCTTGGCGGGCGGAGGCCGGGTGGGCGCGGAGGGGGCGGGCGGGGGCCTCCCGGGATCGCCGTGCTCATACTGGGCCCGGCCGCCCTTTCCCATCCCGGTTGAGAACATGGTCTTTGGTTCGGCCCATTCTCAGCACCTTTTCTAGTGAGGAACTGAAAGGCTAGAGAAGCAAGAAAAGTGAAAACGCTTCAGAAATCCCCCCATTGTAATGTTTTGGATAGCAACCAGACATCTCAGTATACACACGTACACATAGAGATGTCAGCAGGGTCATGCTACTGGACCTCTTTACCTGTTAATAAAGTTCATTTTGTCATAATGTGCTATTAAGATTATCATGTCATCATTTTCAGTGGCAGCATAAGTATTACATTGCAGGAGGTGGCATACCAAACCCGTTCTCTGGCGTAGGAGAGTTGAGTTTTTAAGCATTTTTCTGTTGTAAACACAACCGATGAATAGTTGCCTTTGCCTGGACTGACTCTTGTTGCTGCCCCTGACCTATTACATTACAAGTAGCTCACACCTTTTTCGATGCTTGCCTAAGGCTCTCCCCGTTTGAAGTAGGCCAGTTGGTGTGATTACCCGCCATAAAAACAAAAGGTGCACTCTTACTTAATTTTTAAATGATCGTTTAAAGTGCATACTCTGGGATCCTTGTAAGATGTTTGTATCGGGACAGCAACCTTTCTGCACTTTTTATTTCTTTCTCTTTTTTGTTCTTTAATTGTTTATGTAACAGAGTAAGCAGGAAATTCACAGGAGGTCCGCTCGGCTCAGAAACACTAAATACAAATCTGCTCCAGCTGCTGAAAAGAAAGTTTCCACTAAAGGAAAAGGGAGAAGACATATTTTTAAATTAAAAAATGTAAGATGATTGTGGACAGTGTCTTGTACTGTAATGGCATTGTGTGTGTAGTGTGTCCTGCCACTGCCTTCATCTCTCATCACTGAACTTGGACTCTGCTCTTGGCAGCTATTCTGTAGTGTTCTGGGGACTGGTCCAGACTTTCTAAAAGGGAATGAGCTCTGTTGTAGGAGGCTTACTGTTTATAAAGTTAACAATACCCTTTCTCTGTTTTTTTAGCTTTTATTTTTTTCTCTGGGAAATATAAAATATTCTAAAAGAAACCTAAACCTCCAGCGCATTTTACTGGGTTCTCTGGAAAGGATGAGATGGGGTTATAGTTCTTGGTGTGGCCAGGTATACTGGGAAAACTTTTTTTTTTCATTCTTAAAACTCTAAGTAAATAATAATACTGAAACTCATTCATTTCCATATTTGTTTGTTATTATGGCCCCAGAAGACATTTCTTACTGATTTATAATGATCAACTTGATGAATATGAATGAAAAATTTTACTAAATCTTCTTTATCTCTTCTATGAGAAAGTAGATGGTCGAAAGACTTGTGCTGGGGCAGTGGAAAGCATATTTTTGTTGCAGTAAATTCTCATTGTTTTTGTAAATACAAGGGACGGTGGTCAAACACAATGGGCAATGCATTATACACTATTTTTTAAAACCTCAGTATGGTACTCTTTGCTTTCAGAACAGGAATGCTTCACTTACCAGTAAAGGCATTTCTGAAGTTGGGTGTGTTTATTTAAAAAACTCAGAGAAGCCTTGCGTTATATTCTTGTGCAGATTGTGGATCCTTTTTCTTGTTTAGAATAGTTTCCCCTAATTTATTTAAGAGTTTTATAATTCAGTTTTCTAAACCGAGGTGTTTATTGACTAGACAAAACATGTAAATATTGGATTATAGTTGTATACACTTAAATGCTCTAAACACGTTTTCCTCTTAAGTATGGTGGAATATGTTCTCTGCAAGTATTTTAATATCAATTTCTCTAACAACGCCTTTCTTCAAGGATAATACCAAGACATATTTGGGAAGGCCTAGTTACTGTGTTGTGGCGTGAAAGTGTGTGTTACAGCTTAGGAAGGAATTTCAGTGATGGTTGAGTGGTGGCAAGTTACTAAGAACTCCCAAGAAAGTTTCCTTTGGCCTTGGTTCAGGCTTGCTAGAAAATTAGTTCTGATGATACTGTCATAACTAGTTCCATAGTTAAGTGGAGATGGAAAATGTCTTTGAGGAGACACGTTTTTTATTATTCCCACCTCCGTCATGTTCAGGCCATTAGAGCCAGATTTTTTTATAACTAGAATGTGTAATAAAGCTCTGGAAGGCTTCTGTTAGATTTCAGCCACACAGTCAGGAGCCGGTCCTTTGGGGCTCAGCAATTTTTAAGCTAAAGGTAGCAAAAGTATTCAGACCAGGCTTTGCCACAACGATCAGAAAAGCATTTTTTTTTTTCTTTTTTACTGCAGTTCTTGTCACCAAACAACAACTTTAGTATTTCTTAAATTACAGAACTTTCATATATGGCTGGAAAAATGCCCGTTCACGCTACACACACACGCGTGTGCACACACACACACATACACACACACATTATGAATGTGCTAATATTTTTACTTTTGTTTTTTCACAGCCCATCAAAGCCCCTGAGTCAGTTTCCACCATAATCACTGCAGAATCAATCTTCTACAAGGTGAGCATCTGTAGTTACTGAAGGAAGGTTTGAATTTATTTTATAATGTGCCACTAAAATGCTGGGTTAGTCTAAAAGTCTCTGCTACTCTGTATAAGGTGTGATTGTGGTTTTTGTTCCTTTCTAAGCTATTTTTCCCTGTAGGTGGCTATTATAAAACATCTCATCCAGAGCTGAGTTGGGAGAGGAAGTTACCTATTGAAATACGATATGAGGATCTTAAGTATTTTTTAATGTAGATTATGGGAATCATTTTTAAAATGAAAATGTATGGTGTGGAGCCATTGAGTATGATGCTTGCTGTGGGTTTGTCGTACATAGCCTTTATTATGTTGAGGTAGGTTCCCTCTATGTCCATTTTCTGGAGAGCTTTTATCATAAATGGGTGTTGAATTTTGTCAAAAGCTTTTTCTGCATCTGTTGAGATGATCATATAGTTTTTATTCCTTAATTTGTTAATGTGGTGTATCACATTGATTTGCGTATATTGAAGAATCCTTGCATCCCTTGGATAAATCCCACTTGATCATGGTGTATGATCCTTTTAATGTGCTGTTGGATTCTGTTTGCTAGTATTTTGTTCACGATTTTTGCATCTATGTTCATCAGTGATATTGGTCTATAATTTTCTTTTTTTGCGATATCTTTTTCTGGTTTTGGTATCAGGGTGATGGTGGCTTTGTAGAATGAATTTGGGAGTGTTTCTCCCTCTGCAACTTTTTGGAAGAGTTTGAGAAGGATAGGTGTTAGCTCTTCTCTAAATGTTAGAATTCGCCTGTGAAGCCATCTGGTCCTGGACTTTTGTTTTTTGGAAGATTTTTCATTATGGTTTCAATTTCATTACTTGTGATAGGTCTGTTTATATTTTCTGTTTCTTCCTGGTTCAGTCTGGCAGAATTGTACCTTTCCAAGAATTTGTCCATTTCTTCATGGTTGTCCATTTTATTGGCATATAGTTGTTTGTAGTAATCTCTTATAATCCTTTGTATTTCTGCAGCGTCAGTTGTGATTTCTCCTTTTTCATTTCTAATTTTATTGATCTGTGTCCTCTCCCTTTTTTTCTTGATGAGTCTGGCTAAGGGTTTATCAATTTTGTTTATCTTCTCAAAGAACCAACTTTTAGTTTTATTGATCTTTGCTATTGTTTTCTTCATTTCTGTTTATTTCTGTTCTTTATGATTTCTTTCTTTCTATTGACTTTGGGTTTTCTTTGTTCTTCTTTCTCTAGTTGTTTTAAGTGTAGGGTTAGATTGTTTGAGATTTTTTTTGTTTCTTGAGGTGAGATTGTATTGCTATAAAGTTCACTCTTAGAACTTCTTTTGCTGCGTCCCATAGGTTTTGGGTCATCATGTTTTCATTGTCATTTGTTTCTATGTATTTTTAAATTTCTTCTTTGATTTCTTCAGTGATCTCTTGGTTATTTAGTAACACACTGTTTAGCCTCCACATATTTGTGGTTTTTACAGTTTTTTTCCTGTAATTGATTTCCACTCTCATAGCATTGTGGTCAGAAAAGAAGATTGATACAATTTCAATTTTCTCAAATTTTCCCAGGCTGGATTTGTGACTCAAGATGTGATCTGTCCTGGAGAATGTTCCATGTGCACTTGAGAAGAAAGTGTATTCTGCCACTTTTGGGTGGAATGTTCTGTAAATATCAATTAGATCTATCTGGTCTATTGTATCATTTAAAGCTTGTGTTTATTTATTTTCTGATTGGATGATCTGTCCATTGGTGTAAGTAGGGTGTTAAATTCCCCTACTTTTATTGTGTTACTGTTGATTTCTCCTTTCATGGTTGTTAGCATTTGCCTTATGTATTGAGGTGCTCCTATGTTGGGTGCATAAATATTTACAATTGTTATATCTTCTTCTTGGATTGATCCCTTGATCATTATGTAGTGTCCTTCTTTGTCTCTTGTAATAGTCTTTATTTTAAAGCCTATTTTGTCTGATATGAGAATTGCTACTCCAGCTTTCTTTTGATTTCCATTTGCATGGAATATCTTTTTCCATGCCTTCACTTTCAGTCTGTAGGTGTCCCTAGGTCTGAAGTGGGTCTCTTGTAGACAGCGTATATATGGGTCTTGTTTTTGTACCCATTCAGCCAGTCTGTGTCTTTTGGTTGGGGCATTTAATCCCAATAACACACATGGTTATTATCGATATGTATGTTCCCATTATCATTTTCTTAATGTTTTTGTGGGTCTTTTTCTTCTCTTGTGTTTCCCGCTTAGAAAAGTTTCTTTAGTATTTGTTGTAGCACTGGTTTGGTGGTGCTGAATTCTCTTAGCTTTTGCTTGTCTGAAAAGTTTTTGACTTCTCCATGGAATCTGAATGAGATCCTTGCTGGGTAGAGTAATCTTGGTTGTAGGTTTTTCTCTTTCATCACTTTAAGTATATCCTGCCACTCCCTTCTGGCCTACAGAGTTTCTGCTGCAAAATCAGCTGATAACTGTATAAGGATTCCTTTGTATGTTATTTTTTGTTTTTCCCTTGCTGCTTTTAATTTTTTTTTTTGAACTTGAATTTTGTTTGTTTGATTAATATGTGTCTTGGTGTTTTTCCTAGGGTTTATCCTGTATGGGACTCTGTGTGCTTTCTGGACGTGGGTGATTATTTCCCTTCCCATGTTAGGGAAGTTTTCAACTGTAATCTCTTCAAATATTTTCTCAGACCCTTTTTTTTTCTCTTCTTATGGGACTCCTATAATTCGAATGTTGGTGCGTTTAGTTTTGTCCCAGAGGTCTCTGAGATTGTCTTCAATTCTTTTCATTCTTTTTTTCTTTCTTCTGCTCCTCAGCAGTTATTTCCACCATTTTGTCTTCCAGTTCACTTATTCGTTCTTCTGCCTCCATTATTCTGTTACTGATTCCTTCTAGTGTATTTTTCATTTCAGTTATTGTGTTGTTCATCTCTGTTTGTTTGCTCTTTAGTTCTTCTAGATTTTTGTTAAACATTTCTTGTATTTTCTCAACTCGTGCCTCCATTCTATTTCCGAGATTCTGGATCATCTTTACTACCATTACTCTGAATTCTTTTTCAGGTAGATTGCCTATTGCCTCTTCATTTATTTGGTCTTTTAGGTTTTTACCTTTCTCCTTCATCTGTGACATATTTTTTTGCCATCTCATTTTTTTTTTTTTTATGAGTGGGATTGTGTTCCTGTCTTACTGGTTGTTTGGCCTGAGGCTTCCAACACTGGAGTTTGTAGGCTACTGGGTAGAGATGGGTCTTGGTCCTGAGATAAGGAACTCCGTGAGACCTCACTCCAATGAATAATCCCTGGGGTCTGAGGTTCTCTGTTAGTCCAGTGGTTTGGACTTGGAGCTCCACTGCAGGAGCTTCGGCCTGACCCCAGGCTCGTGAACCAAGATCCCACAGGCCGCCTGGAGTGGAAAAAAAAAAAAAGAACAATAACAAGTAAAAAATAAAATTAGACTAGGAAACTAACAGATATGTTAGGAAGAATATAAAAATAAAAATATAGATTAATCGATGACCAGAAGGTACATCAGTACCACAATAGTAAAAAAAAAGAGGAGGGAAAAGAAATAAAAAAGGAGGGGTGTGGGAAGGCCTTGGCTGTGGAGGGCGGGGCCTAAGCAAGGGTGAAGTTTGGGTGGTGGGTGGGGCCTATGCTTAGGACCCCCAGGGCTGGAAAAGGCCCTGGGGGCTGTGGGGGGTAGAGCTTAGGCTCAAGGAATAGAAGGGGCCCAGACGTGCCCCCCCACCCCTTGTCTCAGAGGGCAGGCGACCTCCTCTGGGAGCCCAGCAGGCTTCCTGGGCTCGAGTGGGTGGGGCAAATGCCCTCCTCTCCTTTCCTGCTCTTCCCAGAGAGTCCCTCCCACCTCCCTCTCCTGATCTTCCCACCCTCAGGGGTGCTGATCCTGTCTGGCTTCCACTTCTCCTACCCCCTCAGTCCCCCTACGTCGTACCGGTTCACTTTGGGGTTCTTCCCGTCTTCTTGGGCGTCAGAGTCCACCACCATTGGCCGGCAGGCGCCCTAGTTGCAGGGAGACGCTAACTCCACGTCTTCCCACACCACCATCTTGACTCCACCTCCTATTTTTATTTTAAATATGGGGTTATCTTCTACTTCCCCCAGGGAGTCTATTACCAAATTGGAGATGTTGTTTCTGTAATTGACGAACAAGATGGAAAACCCTACTATGCTCAGATCAGGGGTTTTATCCAGGACCAGTATTGTGAGAAGAGTGCAGCACTGACGTGGCTCATTCCCACTCTCTCTAGCCCCAGGGACCAATTTGATCCTGCATCCTACATCATAGGTGAGTTTGACAGGTACAGACAGGTTCTTGAACCCAGTTAATTTTCTATCATTATGTGAAAGTATATTCATCTGCGTGGGTTGCCATGACAAAATACCATAAACTGAGTGGGCTAAACAACAGAAATTTATTTTCTCACAGTTCTGGAGGCTGGAAGTCCTAAGGTGCTGTCAGGGTGGGTTTCTGGTGAGAGCTTTCTTCCTGGTTTGTAGACAGCCACCTTTTCTCACAGGGGCTTTCCTCTGTGTGTGTGCACTCATGGCATCTCTTCCTCTTCTTATAAGGACACCAATCCTGTTGGATTAGAGCCCCACCCTCATGGCTTCATGTAACCTTAATTATCTCCCTAAAGGCCCTATCTCCAAATATTATCACTTTAGGGATTAGGACTTAAACATATGAATTTGGCGAGATACAATTCAGTCCATAACAGAGAAGCGTAAGTACAAAAAAGTAGAGAGTATTATAGTAACCCCAGTATAGCTGAGGTTTGATGGCTATACGTTATTTTGAGTTCCGGAGCAGTATAGTATGCACGTACTAGAATGCTGTGTGGATAAGATTTTTCCGAGTGACCCATGGTTAAACTCTATTAAAAGAATTTATTGCTCAAGAACTAGGTTATTTAGGTAACATATAAAAATTTACTCAAAAATGATTTCTAGAGGAACTGTCACATTTATGTCTAAAATCTTACAAATTCTCATTATGTGTCCCTCTAGATGTCACACACATCATCCTAGACCTTTTGCAACCGTTTATATCATTGTTGGTAGTTGAAATGGCAGCCACTGTACTCATTAATTTCAAGGCTGACTAAAGAATTGGTTCTTGACATAGACTCAGAAGAAGAAGTTGTTGATAAATAGAATTTTGAAAGTGTTCAGAGTTTTAAAATTACCCCAAACTTTTCAGCCTTTCTGCAATGCGCATATGTTACTTTTGCATTCTAAGAAAAAAGATACAAAAGGTTTTTTTCAGAGAGAACTCAAGGACAAGTAGAGTACCACTATTATTCCCAGCTGCATGTCAAGTTTGATACATGACCAAGCAGTTTTAGTCTTCTGCTTGTAAGTATTGATACATAGAGGAGTGAACTTTCATTAACCTGTTCTATCAGACAGCATTGTCAGCAGAGGCAGTAACATGACTGAATCACCTCTAGGACTTCTGTCTTACCTCCTCTTCCTAATCCTCAGATTGTAAAGGAGACAGCATAGCATAAAGGTTCAGAGCACAGACTCTGGAACTAGACTGTCTGGGTTCCTAGGACAGCCACTTACTAACTATGTGATCTCAGACAGGTTCCTTGATCTCTCTTGCCTTATTTCCTCATGTAAAATGGGAATAATAATAGTGCCTAACTCAGAGGGTTGTTGTGAGGATTCAAAGTATTGATATATATATCAAGTACTTAGAACAGTGTCGACATAATAAACACTATATAAGGCTAAGTATTATTTTTAGAATCCTTTCTATATTGAGTTATATTTTGGGGAGAATGCTATATTCCTTAAGCAGTTAAAGCAGAAAAAAATGATGGAAAGTAACTTCAAAATAATATATGTTTCAAGGGCTAACGTCAAGTTACCACCAGACCAGTTTCTCCTGGTGTCTAGGAATTTTAACATTTTATGGAAATGATATATATCTTCAAAAATGTGAATGTTGGCTGCCTTCTAGGACCAGAGGAGGATCTTCCAAGGAAGATGGAATACTTGGAATTTGTTTGTCATGCACCTTCTGAATATTTCAAGTCACGTTCATCACCATTTCCCACAGTTCCCACCAGACCAGAGAAGGGCTATATATGGACTCATGTTGGACCTACTCCTGCAATAACTATTAAGGAAACAGTTGCCAACCATTTGTAGTTTAAAAAGTGAACATGGATTTCCAGTTGTCTTGTATTTGTACTACCATAAGACATGCCACATGTTTCTTTAATGAAATTCTTGGATGGAAAAATGACTAAAAAGTTTTTTCTCTACTGCCCAGTAATCATTAGCTTGTTTATTACTAGTCACTTAGAAAATTAAAAGAGATAGAAAAGAATTAAATATATTTTGAAGTTAAATATTACATACACATTAAGTGTGTGTATCCTCCCAGGCAAAGACTGTAATTTCCAAGGAGACCATTAGGAACAGGTAGTGTCTATTTTTCTCCATAATTTATCTCTAGAAACTCATAAAATGGATTGTATTTTTCTACAAGAATAAAATATTAATTAAGGTTTGAATTTCTAACCAAGGGCTGAATCAAATAAAATGTAGCCGTGATCAACAGTATCTATCACCAAGTTAAAAAAAAGCTTTATTTTATCATCTAGAAAATGCTGTGACAGACTGTTGCCTGCTTTAACCTTAAGGAAACTGATTGGTGGATGATGTTATTAGCCTAGGCTTTTTAAAACTTTCATCCAATTCTTCTGTAAGCAGGGATTCAGAATCATTTGGTTGATCTTAATAGAGCTGCTCTTCACTGCTCTCACCTACCTTCTCAGTCAGAGTGAGGCTTAATCAAAACATTAAGTTTATAGTTCAGACAGACAACTTCACTAAAAACACACAGGAAATGTACTGTTCAGGCATCCCTGAGCAGTAGTTTCTTGACCACCATTAGAACAAACATTGGGCAGTCATAAAAATGATTAATCATTAGCACTGATATCTAAAAAAAGTCCACCCCAAAGTTAAAACCATCTGCTATGTACTCAATAACAGGCCTAAAACAATGTCTGGGACTTAGAAGTCCAGGCACAGGAATTCTATTCAGAATTCAGGGACAGGTTTTACTTCAAGTGTAGGTCAGCTAAGTAAGGGAGCAACAATTTAAAAGAGGGAAGGGCTTCCCTGGTGGCGCAGTGGTTGAGAGTCTGCCTGCCGATGCAGGGGACATGGGTTCGTGCCCCGGTCTGGGAAGATCCCACATGCCGCGGGGTGGCTGGGCCCGTGAGCCAAGGCTGCTGAGCCTGCGCGTCCGGAGCCTGTGCTCCTCAACGGGAGAGGCCACAACAGTGAGAGGCCTGCGTACCACAAATAAATAAAATAAATAAAAGAGGGAAGAAGTGGAATTTGCACACACTTGCTTCCTCTCCTGTTCTGACTGGACCATTATTTCTCAACCCCAGCAAAATTTGTCAGGATCTAATTTAATTATGATGATTTTGAATTGTAGGAGTTTTAACTGTTACCATTTTTCTACACAGTTAATGTTTGTATGTTGTAAGGAAGTTATGGTTTGTATGTTGTAGATAGATAGCTCTATGTACATAGTTCTCTCTCTCTTCACAAAGGTTATAGTAAAATTCATTGTAAATACCATTGTAAATAACTAAATGCTAATATTCAGACTTTTGGATTAAAATGTATTTTTCACAGTGTATTTACTTTGGATTTATTTCATGCATTTTTTAATTTCGTTTAAACAATTAAATAGGGCTTTCTACCACAAAGTGGTGTAAATAGAAGACACCACTGTTGTAGTACTCGTAATTTGGAATGACAGATTCATCATCAGTATGTAATAGATATTAGGAAACTCAAAGAATGGCTGATAGATCAAATGAACACTTAACATAAGGTATTTATTAAAATGAAATATTTAAAAACCAGTGTATATATGGACCATTTGTTTATAAATTCCTAGATACTTGTGTAATATCTTTTAAAATGAAGATCGAATTTTGGCTCCTGTTACTCACAGTGTAGACCCATAGCTTTTCTCCTGTGATGGAAGGCCTGTGCTGATGTGGCCCCAGACTGTGTTCCCAGCCTTGTCGCCAAAGGGGTGAGAGGCTGAGGCAGTGCTCTCCTCCACTTCAAATCCATCTTCCCTTTCAGACTGTCCGCACTACTGACTTTAGGCCCCAGCCCAGACGCAGAAGCAAAAGCCTTACACAGACTGTTCAGCGGGCTCCCACAGTTGTGTAAGGTAAAATCTCTATAATAGATACTTCATTCTCTTTCATTCCTAGTGGCTCTGTTTCTCTAATCAAATCCTGACTGATACAGTTACTGAGACACTGAAAGATAAAGCAAGAAACTGCTGTTTTTCGTTACAAGCTATTTAGAACTACTTGGCCTTCTTTTTGTAAAAACTATGTACATGTATTACTTTGATAAATTTTTTAAATTGAAAAGTAATGAAGGATATCACAAAGGGAAAGATGAATAGATTGTATCATAAAAAACTTTAATTTCTAACTGTCAAAAATGTGTATACAAAATTAAAAACAAGTGGGGGGCTTCCCTGGTGGCGCAGTGCTTGAGAGTCCGCCTGCCGATGCAGGAGACGCGGGTTCGTGCCCCGTTTCGGGAAGATCCCACATGCCGCGGAGCGGCTGGGCCCGTGAGCCATGGCCGCTGAGCCTGCGCGTCCGGAGCCTGTGCTCCGCAAATGGGAGAGGCCACAACAGTGAGAGGCCCGCATAACGCAAGAAAAAAAAAAAAAAAAAAAAAAAAAAAAGTAAATCAGCACAGATTACAAGAGCATAATTCAGTGATTCTGAATTTTAAAACAAAAAAATGGGATTCAATCATTCCTTACTATTCCTATAGAGCCCAAATGTCTGAGCACCTTATCCCACTGAAGTCTCCTGGCGGGTTCGTGCCCCGTTTCGGGAAGATCCCACATGCCGCGGAGCGGCTGGGCCCGTGAGCCATGGCCGCTGAGCCTGCGCGTCCGGAGCCTGTGCTCCGCAAATGGGAGAGGCCACAACAGTGAGAGGCCCGCATAACGCAAGAAAAAAAAAAAAAAAAAAAAAAAAAAAACAAGTGGGAATCATTAACCAGTATTTCTTATTCAACATGACAGACTGGCATAAATTAATTACCCAGTTATAAACAAAAGCTACAAACATAACCTCAACTTCTTGTAACATCATCACCATTTGGAATTACCATAACTCCTGTATTCCACCTGTTTAGCAGAAGCTGGGTAGAAGGGAGCAAGTTTATAACAAAAACACCTTCTATACCTTCAATACTTCTCCCTGTGGATAGGGAAGGTGCGAGTTAAAAAAGATGTAACTTAATTAATTAAATAATTAATTTATTTATTGGCTGCACTGGGTCTTAGTTGTGGCAGGCGGGATCTTTGTTGCTGCATGTGGGCTCTTTTAGTTGTGGCATGTGGGATCTTTAGTTGCGGCATGAAAACTCTTAGTTGCAGCATGTGGGATCTAGTTCCCTGACCAGGCATCGAACCCGGGCCCCTTGCATTGGGAGCGTGGAAAAAGACAGTAACTTTAGAATAGAGAGTGAAGGTGCTGTTGGGGAAATACAATTTGAAAAAACTTTCAATTCAGACATCCCCTCCACAAAGGTAGTAGAAAAAGAAAACACTTTTATTACTGACAGCATTAAACCAGCATGTGCTGCTCATCACAGGCAACTGGCTGAGGTTGCAAAGACAAAGAAATCTCACGCTTTTATGCAGCCACTCAGGTGTGGTCATTACATAGAGGTTCTCAAGATAAACAGTAACTAGTCATCATTTAAGAGAACTTGACAGCACCATTAATCACACGCAGTTCTTCCTAAATTCACCTGGTGATTGGGGTGACCACCTACGTTAGCTAATTGACTTTATGGGGGGCAGGGGGGACAAACGTCTTTATGACAGGAGGTACTTTAACAATTTGGAGCACTGAAGTCTGGCTCCCACCCTCCCACAGAAACTGGAGGACAGGGGTGCTGTCTCCCGACAGTCATATTTCAAAGAGATGGCACCCAGGTTCCTGAGAAAAACATAAGTAGATCGCAAAACTGACAGAGACTTACTTAGTTTCTAAAAAGATACATTTCAAGGAGACTGAGAAAATACAAGTTTTCTAAGGTAAGTATTCCGACAAAAAAGGGAAACCTCTTGCCTTATTTTCAACAGAGGGAATTAAGCTGCTGCTTTTTTTTTTTTTTTTTTGCGGTACGCGGGCCTCTCACTGTTACGGCCTCTTCCATTGCGGAACACAGGTTCCGGACGCGCAAGCTCAGCGGCCATGGTTCACGAGCCCAGCCGCTTCGCGGCATGTGGGGTTTCCTGGACCGGGGTACGAACCCGTATCTGCTGCATCGGCAGACGGACTTTCAACCACTGCGCCACCAGGGAAGCTCTTAAGTTTCTTCTTTTAAATTCCTATTTGTCCTTACAGTGCCCTAAATTTGGAAGAGGGAGGAAGTGGGCACCTTTGTGATTCAGGCCTCATGCCAGGGCTGCTATTAGTACACGCTAGTGTCTGTGAGGGTTTCAATATGGCGGCCCCCTGAGGGCTGGGGGAGATTCCCAGGGCTGGAGTCCATTCTCCACTCAGCCAGGACTGTCCATCAGGGCATGTCTGCACCACCGTACTTGGTGGTCCTCATGGTTGTGGCTCTATTAACACGACTAAGAGGTTCTGAACTTACAAAGGCCAAAACCATAATCTCATGCTGAAGGAAAATTCCTTTTCTTTTCATTCTCCTCCGTGAGCACTTGCAAGTGCTTTGCACCTAGCAGGTTCACAAATATCTCACTCAGTTATCCCTGTTTTATATTTTAATAATTAATCATATGGATTTTGAACATGTTTTTAGATTCCACTGCCCTTCCCCACCTTTATATAAGTGAATCACAAACACATTAGAATCACTTCTGGAGCTTTAAAAACAAAAACAAAATACAGGACACACACACAAAACCCTGCTGGAAAGTTCCCACAAGCAACTAAGTAAATCAGTATCTGTGGGGATAAGACTGGGACCTCATTAGGTTCCAAAGTATCTAGTAAAACTTAAAAATACAAAAAAAAGTTTAAATTTCCTGAGGTGACTCTGACATGCAGCCAGAAATGAGAACCACTGCTCAGGCTCCTTCTTAGTATATAAAATTCAGCTGATAAAGCCTTCAGTTTCTACAAAGAGAGGAAGAGATCTGCTAGCATCCTGCTTTGGGGCAATTTAGGAAGATCATCAAAGGCCTTTCTATGCCAA